ACACTTGTTTTGTCTACATTTTGGTGGAATCAGCTCCGAGCCCCAACAGTCATATCATTAAAAGGACAATGAGGCTGAGGACACCATCATGCTTTAAAGTAAAAATGCAGAGAAGATCAATAGACCCTTAACTTGTCTCTCGCCCACCCCACATGTGTTCTCTCTCTCTCTCTCATGGACCAGGAAAAGGAAAGGCTTATAAGACCATGACGCAATTATCTGGTTTCTTCGGCATAAATATTGGTGATGGACAAAAGTTCTATCTACCTCTGAAAAAATCTCATAGAAATTGATGGTTTAAGGTACTTATCTCTAAATCAGATTGCAATTCCTAAATTCTAACTCAATCCATTTAAATCGCCTAACCGTTTCATATAATAGGCTCACATAAGCATGATATTTGGGTGGGTCATGGATGGATTATGGTTGAGTTGGGTTATAGTGAGTGTGGGTTGTGTTTGTGTCAAGCCCATTGAGACTGAACGTAGATTGGTATTAAATGGGTTGGGTTAAATGGGTGGGTTGTAGCTTAATACACCCAGCCCACTTAAAACCCACCCAATTGCCAATTTGCCACCCATGGACTCGTGGATGGTCGATGGACAAAAGTTATACAGCGTCTGATATTTTTCCTAGTTTGGGCCCTAACCATTTCTATTTCTTATCATCCATCCAGTATGCCCAAGTCTCCAGGGTCGTCAGCTAAAACTCAGTACTATGATCCCAGAACCCAAACAGTCTTTCTTTTCAGCTCAGGAAGTTTGTCTGATGGCCTTCATTAAATGATGAAAAGGTACAGGCTCAACATCAAAGTCGGAGACAAGATGATACAAAAACATTTTAATTTTATGGCTTAATACACAATTAAGGGCTCTTTTGATTTATAGTCGGAATCAAAATCGGAATCAGAATGATTTATTCCCATAATTTATTTGGTTCATATAAGAATGAGAATGAAATGCCATTCTCTCAAATGGGGGATGCCGTTCCAGAAAGAATGGAAATGTGATTCCAATTCCACCCTAATTCCAGACCCCTATTCCTAAGAACCAAACGGGACCTAAAATCATTTTGGCTAAATAACGCATAATCAATTTATATGCATGATATATAAATAAAAGCAGGGGTTTTGTAAAATCTATGAATTATGTAGCCAAACAGTAGTGATGTAAAATCTAGGAATATGCATAATTAAACACAATTTCTGAATCATCTGATCGTGGATTCAAAGGTGAAGATGGAGGGGTTTTGGTTGGTTCTGGGCATAAAAGGTCAATTCCTACCGAGATTCTAGGAAGGTTGCTTCCCTTATTACAGTAGTGAGGACTAAGACAAGAATATATAACTGCTGTATGATAGAGATGTGGTATGCAAGTTGTTTTAATCCCTCAGGCTTTGTTGGCTTTTACTATAAAAGATGTTACATCTGTAAAATTTCTGTTATATACTTTTCTCTTTTGTGGCCAAAATTTTGTTATTTGTCTCTTGCATGGAAACAAATATGAGTTGAGATCACCTGCCAATAAAACATGTTCCAACATCCTACCAACATCATTTGACATTGTACATCTCATTCAGGATGGAGCTAGAAAATTTTCATAAGAGGGAGGGAATCCATTGAGGCGAGGAGTGGGGGGAGGGGGAAATGTACATGGAACAGTATATCGCAAATGGAGACTTTTGGGACCGNGGGTCCCCCTTGGCTCCGCCCCTGATCTCATACATGATAGGTCCCAGTTTCATAATGAGATGTGTGATGTCAGATCAAATCAATAGGGTGTTGGAATGTATTTTATTGGCAAGAAATCCCAACTCAACACGAGTTCAGATCACTTACCAACAAAACCTGTTCTAACACCCTACCAACATCATCTGACATCGTGCATCTCATAGATGATAGATCCCACTTTATGATGGTCCCAATTTCATAATGAGATGTGTGATATTAGAACAAGTTGGTAAAGTATTGAAATATGTTTTATTGGCAGGAGATGCCAACTCCACGGCCTCTGGAGTTGGGGATATTTTTCATTTTAATAAATCATTCCTTTTTTATTTATAACAATTTTTATAGTGCCCATGAGAAACCCACGTGGGACTCCGGTATATTTAACTTTACATGTGAGTTGTAATTTTTTCGCAACATGAACGTTTGTGGTGAAAGGAATTTTAACCCAATTTTAAGTCGTCAATGGATTAAGCAACATCTGAATTTGAATTCAAATCCTATCCTACTCACTGTGAATAGTATCTTTATACATAGAATCCATTAATCAATCCCTCCTCTACGCTCTACCCACACACAATTAAAAAGAAGAAAAAAGAACCGGCCTAGAAAATTCAGAAAACCTTTATTGTTGTAAGTTGTAGGCATGGGACTAAAACAAAGGAAACTTGCTCTTGTTAACATCATATCAAGCACATGGGGGGCATGGATTTACATCTTGAGCATGTCGGTTCTCCCATACTTACCACGCAACAAGACGACACAGAAAGCTGCATTATGACACTGCAAGAAAGACAGAGGGATCCGAATGACAAACACATCAATGAAAAGTCAAGAATGGACCATATATAAAGTAAACTCTATCAAAACTCCAAAATCACGTTAAAAGAAACCCTTGCTATAAGTACATGAAAGGTCATTATCTACGCCTACTCCAGAAACTAAATCAGCTTACTTTATCCCATTGTTTTTCATACAAGTCCGAAATGAATAACATCTCTTTGATATTAACTGGTTTCAGTAGAAAAATAAGGTAAAAAATGTAATAGTTTTATACAGGGTTCAAAGTATAGATAGGTGTCGTATTTTACTATGCGTATACTATCGTATCGGCATGGAAGGTGATATTTTAAACCTTGGTTTTATAAAATTAGTAGCTTGTTTGCAGCCTAAAAGGGCTCTGGATGTTCCCCACTGGCCACTCTATGCACCCTTCATTGCTTGTACAATTATTTGAGGTCACACTTGCTTCTTTGCTTGTTGATTATACTATGTATATACTTATATATTAATTTTTGTTTTTAATGTATGATAGGATCAGTATTCAGAATTTACTATCCTATTAATTATAAAATATTACTTTGAAAGCATTTGTTTAGTCATGATCATTTATGAAACCGCCCCCACCTGCATATATGGTATAGTATATTAATTTTAAATACATTTTTTTTGTAATTTTGATCATACAGATCAATTAAGTTATTAGTTTTTTAAAATATAAATCTATACTACTTATATTATAAAAGTGTGATCGGGTCTTATTTTCTGAAATTTCTATTGGACAAAATTTACACTTGATCTTGAGCTATCATAGGAGAAAATTTGTATTTTAATAAAAAAAAAGCTTTAATTGAGACAGTAAACCAAATGAACAACATTTATGAATAGAAAATAAAACCCCATCTATACTACTATTAAAAGTGTGAAATTTTTTGTTTGACTAAAATATCCCAAATTTTTAATTTGGTCCCTCTCTCATTGTAAGGATAGAAATGTAATTTGAACAACCATTTTTCTTTTCATTCAAATCCCTCTCTTTAAGTCTTATATTTAAGGTATGTAATAACTCCCAATAACATTCATTGGATCCTATTATTAAAACCTATTTTTGAATTTAGTCTCTCCAATTATGAGGGCATAAAATGTAATTTGAACTACTACATTTCTATTCATTCAATTCCATCTCATTAAGTCTTACATTTAGTGTATTAACTCCCATTTTTCATTAACTCTTATATTAATTGACCATATTAGGAAAATCAAGTGTGCCAAAAAACAATTGTTTTATTGATGATAGAAATAAAAAAAAACAAATTTAAAATCAATCCAAAACAAAGTTATTTTCCTATTTAATAGCAAGTTAACAATTCAACCTTTTAGATTAAATGTGTAAACTCTTGATGTCATAATTAAATAATAATAATAATAATAATTAAAAATGATGAAAACAAACAAAAGTATAAAAAAATACAAAAAAAAAATGTAGAAGACATTTGAACACATCTCTAATATCGTATGTTTATCATATTAACAAAAATAAATGTGACAAAAAAGGCCATGAATGCCTTGTAAAAACCCGGCCTGGCCCATAGTGTATTTTTTTAATCAGTTGCAAGTTAAAACTAACTCATTTTGCATGATAATGCCACTTCCTTTTATGACAATAGCCACATATCTCAATATATTTAATTATTTATTTTAAAACAAACTTTGCGTAATTGAAGACGGGTGCTGTTTCTACTTATTTTGGTTTGATCGATATAAATTTGCGTACAACTATTATTTGAGGTTGTTTATAGTTGAAACAGCCATATATAGATCTTAAAAATGCATGTGGGGGAAACTCTTTGTAGAAACATCAAGTTGATGCTGTTTCTAGTAATCATTCTAGCTGAAGTTACTCTCATATACGATGCTACGTACCAATGCATACAATCCAAATAAATATGTAGAATTAGATACACTGTTGGTACCACAAAATTCTTGGATTTTGTTAGAGAGAAAGGAGCAAGCAGTTTGGGGTTACGAAACTACAAATTCAGGTCCCCTTCCAAATCCAATAGTCCTTATTTTTATTTTCTATTTGAAGCCTACCGTTCAGATAGTCTAATAAATTAATAAATATTCCAAATTAGATATTCCACAGGGAGATGAAAGAAGTAATATATGTACTCTTGCTATAATAAAATGATAAAATAATAGAATCCAACCTAATTGCTCTGAACCAAACTTGGTGCATCACGTGGACGAAATAGTATTGTTGTTACTTCATTTTCATTTTCCCCACATACAACTAGTACTACAACCCTTGCATAGGCCACGGCCTGCTGCAGTGCAGATGCATTGACATCAGCTCCGGCCGTGCAATTGGACCATGAATGTCATATTCATTCACTGAAAATTGATCAATAACGATCGATATTGTAAGTAATTTGTATATTAACGATCTTACTACAATACTTTAATCAATTGTCACACCATCTTATTAATAATGAAATATTTCAAACATTTTCGATTCTTATTGATTCACTTACCAGAAGAGAATAATCATACAGAGCAGAAGATTTTAGAACAGAAATCCAGGATTACAGGCCCACCTAATATAAAATTTCTTTCCCTTATTGTGTCTATTTCCATCACCATCCTCCGTGGTTTAACAATCAATTGAAGTGTATGGTCATAAGGAGGTGGTAGACTTTCACCGCCAACTGGGTTTCCCACCAAAGTCCAGACCCAGGCCCAGCTTGATTGATAAGAGCCCTTCAATGTCGTCTGTTTCCCCAGTTTTTTCTTCATTCTTGTCACTTGTCATTATTATTATTACTATTACTACAAGTACTACCGGTGAGCTCACTTGCCCGTCTTACTTGGAGAATCCAATCTGTTCTCATCAACACCAACACCATCACCACTGAACATGTTGCTTGTGCCATAAGTAGGCCCATCCACAGGCCCAATAAACCCATATCCATTACAAAGCCCATTAGTACTGCTGCGGGCATTCCCACCACATAGAAGGAGCCGAGGTTTATGGTGGCTGCCAACGATGGCCTCGCGCTACCTCTCAAAACTCCACAACCAGTAGTTTGTGGGCAGTTCCCTAGCTCGCATAGTCCCAATACCGGCATCACCGTCGCAGTTAATGATATTATGAGTTGGTCGGTTGTGAATGCTCGTCCCCAGGCGTCTCGCATCGTTGTGGTGAAGGACATGGCCATGAAGCCAGTTATTATAGCACAAGACAGCGCCACTCGAGTCGATAGCTTTGCTCGGTCAGGGCGGTTGGCGCCCAACTCGTTTCCAACCCTCGTGGACACGGCTAGACTGAGCGCCGAAGGGAAAATGTAGACGAAGGAGGTTGTTTGAATTAGAATGCCCATGGTAGCCACTGACTCCGCAGCGTTTGAAAGTAGGCCAGAGAATATTATCATGAGCTCGTACCACCACCATTCCAAGCAGACGGAGACACAACTTGGGATGGCTAGACTGAGAATCGGTGACCATTCACGGAAGCAGTCGACTGACCAACCTGGCCATGACTTGCGGTGGTTACCAGACAAGTACAAGTAGAGCAGAAGGGTTGACAGGAGGTTGAGGTCTGTCAATGCCACTGCCATGGCAATCCCGCGAATGCCGAGGTCAAAGTGGTAGACGAGCAAGTAATTGATGGGTGCGTGCAGTGCTAGAGAGAAGCCGGCGCTGAGCATGAGAGGGAGAGTAATTTTCTGGGTCCTTAAGTAAATCTTGAGAGGGTTAATAACGGATTGAAACAGGAGGTCAGGGAGCAAGAAGGCCAGGTAAGTAGACGCAACGGAGGCAATAGTCGGGTCTTGGCCACAGTAGAGTAGGATGGGCTCGACCTTGAGCCACAAGAGCGAGATGGGTAGGCAGATCATGGCGAGAATGATTATGGTGCGTTGCAGTGCCAGACCCATGAGAAGCCATTGCTTGGCACCACAGGCTTGAGAAGAGACGGCCTCCATGCCTATTGCCAGGCCAGAAAGGAGCGAGTAGCCTGTGATGTTGGCCAAGCCAATCGAGAGAGATCCACCTGCTAAAACTTCTTTGCCTAGTCTTCCCATGAAAAGCATCGATATCGCGGACTTACCATAGAGAAGTAGACCTGTGATGATCATGGGAAAGGCGATCGTGTAAAGCTGTCTAATCTCTTCAACAACCTGCGGAAAGAAGATGTAGATCAAGAGGAGACATGCATCTTTTTCTTTTTTTTTTTATGTTGAGACCCATGAAAGCTATCAGAACCAAAGCAGACAAAGAAAACTAAAGACATGATAGTACTGACCTCTGATGGGGTAGGGTGCCACCTTTGTTGAGGGTCTTGCTCTCTTGAAAAATCTGTGTATATCTTTAGAGGAGATGAAGGTTCAAAGTAATAATCTTCCATGTTTACAAACAAAAAATATATATATAGTTCTCTCTCTCTCTCTCCCTCCCTCCCTCCCTCTCTCTCTCTCTGCTGGTTCTTTTGTTTAATTTATGGCTTCATTTTCCGGTGTACATGATAAGCAAGCCTTAATTTCGGAAGAACACAGAAAAAGAGAAATGTGATGAGCTCGGCAGTGAGTTGTCATAATCACTCCGGATCAGGTGGCAGAATAAGAACATTCGATCACTTTTCTCCCTCTTCCTCTTCTTCTTTCTGCTGAACTATCTCTGTGAATGTATTATGTTTCTTCTCTTCTAATTCTTCTTTCTCTCTCTCTCAAACTTATAGACAGTGTGCGAGCTGTGTGGCGTTTGATATAATGACTGCCTTGTTGGGACAAGGTGGGAAATGCGGACGGATGAGTGTAGGAGGATGAGGAGGAGCGTAGAGGAGGCTGGGTGAGGAGAGTGAGCGATGATGTCATGATGCATATATCTCTTCAATTTACTCTCCTCTGATGGACCCTCCCGTCCCATTGGCGTTGGCCCTGCCCTTGCCTTAGTGCGTTACTGCCAAACCCCCTGCAAACTCCAGAGGGAGAGATGGTCAGTTGTCATCGTATCTGGGTTTGCCCAAAAGCCGACACAATTTTAGCGTTCACGGTCCCCCCAAGCCAAGAGTTTCCCCTCCACAGTCCACCACCACCACCCCCCCACAACATTCCACAGCACATCCCCGCCGTGTATTGAAAACATCTCCTAATAATAATCTTAGAAATGATGCTCTCAATACAATACACGGTGGAGATGTTGTGTAGTACGTTGTCGGGGGCTAATTTGAACTCACCACCACCACCATCACTCAAAAATTAAAAACGTTCCACAACAGCTTTTACCATTTACGCACTTGTGTGCGACCTCAGAGTCACCGCTTAATGGGTGGGCCCACCCTTGTAAGATCTTGCCCCAGTTTACCAGCCATCGGATCTTCTCCATTCCTTTGGACAGTCAAACAGAAGAATGGTCACGATTCGAACGAATGAGAACGTCCTCGTTTAAATCCATACTGCAAACATGACGGAGAGGCCGAGAGGGAGAAACACTGAAAATTAATTAATTATCATTATATACATCAGATGACTCGAGCTGGAACAGTTGAGCTAATAGTAATACATCCATCGATGATGATGATTAAGCGTCCAATTCCAATGTCAACCGGTTACCACCATCTGATTGGCATTCGTTGCATCCAAATATTTAACAACGATTGGACGAAAGACGGTGGATGCCAAAACCATTGAAAAATCAAAATGTACTCAGAAGTCTAGTCTATTAATTACAGCTCACATTTCTACACGTGGAGGAATGATATGGTTGATCCAAAGACTAGATTAGATAGAAGGCCCTATGCTATGTATATGTAGTTCTCTCTGCATGGGAACTTTCCTCAACTTTGTAATAGCTGTCAAAATTTAATTCCAATTGAAAGATAAAAAAAACGGACATAAAAAGGGCTTATTTTGGAAACCAAGCAAAGGCTTTTTTTGGCTGAAACTATTTCCTTTCTGGTAGGATTTTAGGATGAAACTTGCCTCCATACATGAACAATGTCTCTTGAATTTCTGGGTAGTTTGGACTTTGGACTTCTCCCAAGGATCCTACTGGCAAATAGTAATAATAATTCAAAGAATGCATTATATATTAATGTACACTGACTGGACCAAATGATGAGAAAAAAAAAATAGAGAGAGAGAGAATTTGGAGCAGCAGGGGAAAAAATAGTAAGAAGCATAAAAAAAAAATAACTAAAAGCAATACTTGGGTGGATTTGGAAGGAAGTTTAGATAGCCACCAGCTTAACGGTACCCACATAAATAAGGTTAAGTGAGCTCTTGGCTCAAACCTTATGTTCTGATTTTAAAGGCCCGCTTGGTTTATGATCAAAATCGGAATAAGAACCGAAATCCATTGATTTTAGAATCTGAACCATTTTTTCTTTCCCCTATTTAATTTAAATAGGAATTAAATTCAAATTTCATAAGATATGCATGATTTCCAAAAGAACGAGCATTAAGCAGTTGTTTGGCATCGTTGTCGTTTCTTGGAATAACAGCGCCACGTAGGAAAAAACGGTGTTCTAGGAAACAGTCATTTGTTTGGAACCGTTTCTCCATAGAAAACGGTGCTCTAAGTCATGCCTTCTCGATTTTCAAAGTATGGCTTGGAGCAACGCCAAATTTGGCATTTCCTAGAGTTGCAGCTCGTTGCTGCCAACAGAGATGTGGCTCTGGATAATGGGTAGAAGTGCAAAAAACGTTTCCTTAAGGGTACCAAACAGAAAAAGTTATTGTTCCAGGAAACGTCATACCTAGCAGCAATGACTACAAACAAAAACGGTGCTTCCAACCCACACATCAGCAGCACCGTTTTCTCAACTGCAACATCGATACCAAACATATACCAAGTAAATTAGAAATAGATTTGGGGGGTTTTCAAGTCATCTATCTTTTTTTTTTCTCTAGCAACCACTCCCTCAAATGAAAGAATGTCATTCTGCCAGAAATGAAAATCGGAATTTCCTTTCATACAACCAAACGGTTAGAATCAGAATAGGCCATATTTTAACTCCGATTCCAAACTCCTATGCTTGTGACCCAAACAGACCCCCTTAATTCATTTATATCCAAGCACTTGCCATTTGCTTTGCCGAAGTAATGAATAGTGAAGGGGAGACAAAAGGATATCCAAAGTTGATGATGCGCAATCTGGCCGGTCTTAGCTGTCAGCGATCTTGCTGGTAGGCCGCAGTTCGGATGTGCGCGAGGTCTCTCACCTTGTCCAGTAGGTCGAGGTTGGGGCGTAACTCGCCTTCGTTTATCTATTCGTCGTATGCTTCTAGTCGCAGCGTAGGTACTTCGATTTCCGCCGAGATTACCGCCTCGGTGCCGTAGGTGAGGTTAAAGGGGGTCTCTCCTATGGCGGTTTTTTTCGTGGTTCGGTGAGCCCATAGAACACTTGGTAGCTCGTC